TAGGTAGTGCTGAGCATTTTCAGTTTAATGGCTACATATACATGTTGAAGTGTCAAGCAAATGGTAATTCAATGAATCAGAGTTTAAGTTACTAGCATTGTTTCTAAGCTGGCATAATAACATATTATATTTTCTAGGTCCTGCGTATTTAAAAGTTTTGATGGCACCTGTTTGATTATTTACATTGGGCTTTATAACTTTCTTAAATTTCTGTATTGAATTAATGTTTACTAAGTCAGGTTGGAGCATATTAAAATCACTTAGAGTTGATGGGAAATAACTATTTCTGTAACTTTCTGTTCTACAAACAGGAGGATTGAATAAACAAGTATTTCTTAGAGGATATCTTACATTCTCATTAGTATAAACAAAAGGTTCAAAAATGTTACGTAAGTAGCTTGGAATTTCATTTCCCAGAATTTTATAAATAAGAAGAAGTTTATGTTGGCTTCGCCTATTACTAAGAGTTTAAATTCCAGTTTCTGCAAAGAGTTTATAATGAGATGTTTCCCTTCTTAACCCAGTTATTATCCTAAGTGCTTCTAACTGAACTGATTCTGATAAGTTTTTTTTCTGATTTGTACAATTATCCCAGATGACATCCCCATACTCTAAAATTGGTCTAATAAAGGAAGTGTATATAGTTGTTAGGCTTTTCCTGTCTACTTTGTGTTTAAGCATTCTCAAAATATTTATTCTCTTGTAGGCTTTATTGTATATATTAGTGATATGGTGAGACCATTTACCATCACTACTAAAAGTTAAACCTGAATTTTTATGAATCTTGACAGAGCTGACTGAATCACCTGCAAACAGTATATCAGGATTAATTTGTTCCCTTTTTCTTGAGAAAAGTGAAGATTCTGTTTTCTGAGGATTAAACTTGATATCCCATCTGTTAGCCCATATATCTAGATTGCTTAAGTCATAGGTTAATTTCTGTGCAATTCACCAGAATTATTTTCAATCACTTCAAAAATTGATGTATCATCAGCAAACAGCTTAAACTTGCTTGTGATGCAGTCAGTTATGTCATTAATATAAACCAAAAATAAGAATGGACCGAGAACTGAGCCTTGAGGGACACCAGCTTTAACATGTTTAAATGTTGAATGAAAACCCTCAGTTAGTACCCTTTGCTTCCTATCAGACAAATACGTAGTTTTTAAACCAATTCAAAACATTACCACTTATACCATATGATTCTAAATTAAAAATCAGGCCTTCATGCCAAACTCTATCAAACGCTTTGCTAACATCACAAAATACAAATCTAATTTCATTATTCTTATCCAAATTACTTATAATAGTTTCATATATTTCCAATAATTGATTTACAGTAGAGTCTTTTGGTAAAAAGCCTGATTGATGCTTAGTAATTACTTCACAATCTTTTAGGTAATTAAACATATATTTAAAAACTACTTTTTCAATAATTTTACTAAAAACAAGATGTGATAGATATGGGCCTATAATTAGATACATCATTTTCAGAGCCTTTCCCTTTATAAATAGCATTAACATCAGCTGATTTCCAAGATGCTGGTATAGTACTTGTTTCAAAAGTTTTATTACATAGAAGAGTAAGAGGGCGTACTTATGAGGGGGTTAATCTTTTTATTATTTTAGGTATCATATTGTCAGGACCAGGAGGTTTTCTGTCATTAAGTAAGAGAAATTGATCTTTGATGTCCTGCTCAGAAATGGTAATATTTTCTAGTTTAAAAGGGAAGTTACTATCAGGTTGAGGTAGAGGATCCAGATTTTCAGATATTGTTGAAATCGAAATGAAATAATTATTTAGACACTCAGCCTTATCAAATGGATGATGGACATACTGATCATTTACATATAGAGATGGTAAAGAGGTAGAAACATTATTAGAGTTCATTATTGACTTAGCAATTTTCCACCACTTGTTAGCAGAAATAGAATTGTCTTGGAGAGATTCATCTTATTTGATAAAATATGTTTTTTTTTTGGCTTCCCTAACAAGATCCACTACCTCATTTCTATAAATATCCCAGTCTGTAGCAAAATTACTAGATTTAGCTTTTGCATGTATTCTATTTCTCTGTCTAATTTTGAGTTTGATATTATTTCTCATCCAGGGTTTATCATTGGGTCGGACCGTTCTAAGTTTACATGGTACACATAATTTTGTTTGTTTGATAATGGTTTCTGTTAAAATACTATTAAATTCCTCACAATTATGATTTTCTATCAGTTATTCCCAATCAACACTATCAATCGCTCTATTCATCTTACCAAATCTGCTCTATCATAAACTAGTATTTTCTTCATATATGATTTCTTTTTGAATACAGAATTTCAACAAGAGAAGTTAACAATACAATGGTCACTGCATATTGGAGTATTCACCGAAGTATTTCTAATTAAACTTATGTTGTTAGTGAACAATATATCAATAGCAGTAGCAGTTGTCTCAGTAATCCGTGTTGGTTCATTAATTAAACTTACAAAATTATACTTTACTAAGAGTCTACTTAAGTGGTGATTCTCAGGTATATTTAGCATATTTACATTAATATCACCTGTAATTATAATATCAAGACCTGTATTACAAGTATATTTTAGAATGTGGTCTAACTTATCCCAATAATCTACAGTAGATTCTGGCCTATAGATACAACCTTACAATACTCTTTTGTTATTAGAAGAAATTTCAATCCAAATCATTTCTACATCATTGCTTTCAAGATCTAACCTTCTCTTACTATGTATAGTATTTTTACAGTAAATAATGACTCCTCCTCCTGGTCCTGTACTTCTATCAAGTCTATGTATATCGTGGGAGAATGAATTAAGTGTGATCTCTGAATCAAGAATATTAGGGGTAAGATGTGTTTCTGTTAGGCATAATATATCACTATCATGTAATTCAGCCTCAATAATATCAAGTTTATTTCTAAGAGATCTGACATTGAGGTGAGATATTACAATGTCAAGATTAGGACCTGGATTAAGTTGTATATCATTACAAAGAAGCAGTACTAGTTTATGAATATAAGAGTGATATGTAGTGTTGTTTATAGATTCAATGCAATAAAATTCTCCAATATACTGGTGGATTGACAATTTATGGGACACATCAGGATCAACAGACAGATAATGTAAACACAGCAGCAGGGTATACAGCGATAACATGGCAATGGCGACTGGACACCGGATGAGCATTTTCGGATACATACATTAGGAAGACAAATTGGATAAGGTTGCATATATAAATATAGCTTAAATAAGATTCCGTAAGACATTAACCGGCTCATAGTCGGAGTAAACACATGGGGTCAAATTTACAGCTATATCATGGTTCTCACATGGGCGATGATCTATTAATAGAATTAAGCGTATTCAAGACCTTAACTTGGATTGCGTTCTTTTAGCATACATAGCTAGTTATATTAGTTCAAGGTGGCACTAAGGCCTACATTATATGTGCAAGTGTATATAAGTCAGTAAGTAGTGTACCAAACTGGATTTGAATTAGGGATTCATTAGATTTTATGCTAGAATTATTTCTATGCAATAATAAGAACTAGAATTGAAAGAAGTAAATGGAATTGGAGAAGTGGAATAAGTCAAACTTTACCAAAAGCAGTGGGCATATAGACACAACCATATAAATGAAGGAAGATATCAACGTCAAACTGTACTAAACAACACATGGTCAGGGAGCTGTAGGTAAGTGATTATAACTTATTCATTATTACCACATTTTGAAAATCATAATTTCATGGCCAAGTATTCTAGATTAAAATATATTAAATATAAAATTAAAACTTAAAAATAGCAAGCAGCAGCTATAAGCCTGCATACAATACAACATGTACAGTTTTGTTTACATTATGCTGCAATATTGCATGACACTATACATATGTACATGTACATGTGTATCAGAGTAGAGTGAAACAATATATGATTAATTAATACACATACAACAGTAGATTTTTACATGTATACTATGTACATGTATACAATATATATTTGTAGAGTGACATCAAACACATGAGTGTTCAAGGTACAAATAAATATGCATCTAAGGATACAATGTAATAGTATGGTCCATTTGTAGATATTGGCTAGCTAAGAATAAGATATATTTCATGATTAAGCATTTATTTCAGCTGGCACATAAACAAAGTTTGTCAAAATTTATTACATCATTACATGATAGATATATTCATGGCAGCTGTAAAATTAATTCAGCTCGCAAATAAACATGCGTGGTTAATCATATATAAACAATTGTAACTTAAATAGAATTGCATAAGTTATAAGTTTCAGTCAGTTCAATAGCTATACCGTCAATAGGATAGTTATGTATATATTTGTTGGTGGTTTTCTAATTGAAGCAATAGCTCATGCAACATATACATATGTACACACACATATAAATACTACAGTGTATATATACATATACATATATATAAATTGTATTTCCAAACATGATTTGATTTATGCATATATATATAAATGCTAGAATGTATATTAGTTTAAAGTATAATCATAAATAATTGACACACATGTACGTAATGCTTGCCACTAAATCATCAAATGACACTGCATATGGTCCTTTAAAGAAAAACATACTTTGCAAGTACATGTACACGCTTATATATTATAAACATTTCTTTTATATCAGAAATAAAGGTTGATTAATTAATTAATTTACAGATTCCAGTCAATGTAATGACACATAAATAAGCTAAATGCTAGGTACATGTACCTTTGTATATCTGTTAGTGATTACAGTACACTGTAGTTATAGTTCATTCATAAAATTGATATACTACAATACTCTAATAAAAATAAAGTAAACTATATAGAGCAAAAAAGAGTCAAACAATTAACTATATTTATTAACTAAATTATGGTATTTACATAAACACTTGCATATAATTATATATACAATGTATTTATATTACAGACTGACACACGGGCCTACATGTACATGTAGCTAATGTATACTGGCACTGGATCCACGGCCCTGAGCTAGCGTTCTAGGTCCTTGTCCCTTGGGAGGAGGGTCAGGGTAGGAAGATAACTCATTTAGTCTGGTAACTTGATGCTTGTCACCGGTGAGGTTCCGTATCACTATCCTGCCATCCTGAGTCCATGAAATGTGGCCCTCCTTCTTGAGGAAGCGGGCTTTGGAGAATAGTGTGGACCTGAACTTAGTAAGCGCTTCGTTGACGAAGAGTTTATTAGACGGATGCTGGGATGAAGTAGGGGATGCTGAGTGGTCACTTTTCTTAGAGAAAAAAGAGAATCTTGCATCGTACACACTGGCTCTGGTTATATAAGAAATAAAGCGAACTATGATGTCTCTGGGATAGGACTTATTGATGGGGCCGACACGATGGGTCCTGCTAATGTCGGACTCGGTAACCATGACACCTAGTGTATCATTACATGCATCAAGAATAAGCTTGTCCGTGTTCTCATGTTCTGACTCCGGAATACCCATGAACTTCAAGCAATTACGACGGGAATATTGTTCCATGTCGTCAATACCATGCTCCAAAGACTTAATCTGATCATTGAGGGCAGTAATACCTAAGCTGGACAGGAGCGTGTCCTTGAATAAGGAGTTAGACATGAGTTGAGAAACAACTTCTCGGACCACACCAGGGTCCCTGAGATCACTAATGGCTTGGACACTCTTCTTGACTTTATTAGACAGTTCAACAGCCATGATGAGTAGCAACAGCAGATCTAGAGCAAGCGAAAGCTGACAACAAAGGAAAATGGCGGGAGTGGAGTGGTCAGTCGGGCGATACACACTGGTCAGATAGAGTGAATTAATTCATATTATGAGGAAAACAGAATGTCATATTCATACTAAAATGTTACACAGTTACTTATCTTCATCTGGTGTTTCTGTTTACATCATAATCGGCGAAAAAACCATGATATCGATGAAAAAATGACCACTGGTCAGTGAGGTACGTGTTTACATTTCAACACCGGAAATGACATTTTTCAATGTTGCGGAATGTTGTTTTCATCTACGTGACTACAGGTAGGGTATGCCTAGAGTAATGGCTGTTTTGTGAACGCCTGTGGTCGATTGTCGGTTATTAAAATGGAAACAGGCTCGGAAATCAGACCGGGGTAAGTTATTAATGTTTTAGTCTTCTGGTTGCTTCTATAATTTCTTACTTTGGATGTCTTTTTCCGGGTAAATGTCTTTTAGCATTTGTTTTAACGTGCGGTCCAATCAGGCGTAACCATTGTTTACATCGATATTTGTGTTGTTTAAATGTAGGTTATAAATGATTATGTGGTTATTGCTATGTTATGGTGTTAGTTATAGTGTGTATAGAGTTCCTATGTTGAAATATAAATTATCATTTGAAGTTGCGATAAAGTACAGGTAAATTAGTTTGGTGAATTTCACCTGTTTAAAAATGTACGGAAGCCCTTACGGGACATAGCTTAGCTATTGTGTACATGGATGTTAGTGTTAGGAATGGAACGACACGGGTTTATGTTAGTATTTTGTACATCTAATTATTAATATTTGGGCATATATTAGTAGTTAATTTGGGTATTTATTCTATAACTATCAGAGTTAGGATATTAATGTATATTAATTGTTGTTTGCCATTGTTGTAAGGTGAGAACTTATCATGTTTGTTGTGTGTGTTTGTTTAAGCTCTCCATGACGGGATTTAGTCCCTGAGCCAATAGGACTCTGCTACACGACGGCTTCGGCGTCAGGACTCGTCCAAGATAGAGTCAGCCTCAGGAAGTTCCGTTGGTGTGCCAGGCGAGTCAGCGTGCTAAGGGAAAGAGCGGGCGGTATCACTACGCCTACATGTGGTCGACGTCTGGTGTTATGGACGTACTGGTGAGATAGCCAGCCACTGCGGAGCTGCGCCAGATTATTTGTGCTAGCATCTATTTTTCTATACTGTACCTCCGGGAAAGTATTTTGTGTTGATATTGCTGTGCCGGACATTCTTGCGGAGCGCTTGTCCGTGTGCCTGGATTGCGGTTCAGATTATGACCTTAGTGATGTTTGTCGTGAGGGAAACTTGTGACTGTCGTGGATAACGAACTATGAACTTTGAACTTTCGTGTTGGAGTGAGTGTGAATGTGTCTTAGTGTGAAATTTATATGTATCTGTATATAATATATGTAGTAAATAGTTTCATGTAAAACCGTTTGTTGTCTTCATTTCAAAAACACCCTACTCGATCGCTTGTCCTACGTTACAGTGACATAATGCAGTGTACCTCTTAGATGGACAAATATTCACGTCAACAAGAAACACACGGTCAATGAATGTGTGTGCACACACAAACGGGCATAACTATATGTAGTTATGAAATGGTATGATATGCCCGGGTAACGTATTTCATGCTTTCTTCTATATTAGAAATCTTATATCTTTTTAACATGATTTAAGAACACATAGCGCTACTACAGTTATTATCATTACAGTCTTAACGGCTATTATAGTACATCCATTTATATAAATGCATACTGATTTGGAAACAGTATATCATTGAAATAATAAAAATATTACTTTTACTTTACAGAAACAAATGCTTCGAGCGGTAGTGTTCGAGAACTTCGTTTGCTTTCGAGATCGACAGATAATACAATTTCAGGATGGACCTAACTTCCTTGTTGGGGCGAATGCAACAGGGAAAAGCTCCATTTTTGATCTTGTCAGACGATGTTTATCGAACAAAGCCAACACTTCAACATCGAGAGTAACAGACGAAAAGTTCCCTGCGTTTGCTCTTTGTAAATATTACATAAGAGAAAGACTATCAGATGAACTCCCCGAAGGAAGTTGGCTTTATTCTTATCTCTGCGTAAAACATTTGCCAGAGGACGAAACACAGATGGACAAACTAGTGTGCATTCCGAACACAGAAACATGTTATCTAGATTGCTATACAGTCCCTAAAGATCATTTCCTTGATACAAGAAATGTCGAATACTTTGATTTTTGTCGTAAAACAGTCGAAATATCAACCAAATTGGAAGAGTTGGAAAAGAACCACTCATCGTTCGACAGTTTTCATGAAATGATCCAAGAACTGAAACAGACTGATAGTTATCATTCGTTGACAAGTGACAAATTAAAATTGAATTGTGAAGATATACTACAGAAGATACATGATGTTGTTGTCCTTACGTTTTCGATACGTTCTCCTGGACCGATACAATGGAGTCATACTCAAAATATTGGCATAGGAAATGAGCATTACGAAACAGCATCAAAGAAGGCGGAGATACTTCAAAAGCTGTTGGAATCTGATGACGTCGACCAGGATTTTTCAAAAAAAGTATTCGATACAATCGTTCAACCGTTGGAATACACCTTCAAAATGAATCCAGATTCTACCATCACAGTTAATGACGGCTCAAGAGATATACAATTTCTCAAAATACCAGAGGGAGTAATAGAAGCAAGACAATTTTCGTTGATGTTTGCTCACAAAAAATTTCAAACAATTATGTTTGAGGAACCAGATCGAGGCATGCATCCGTCAATGATTCAAAAGTTACGTGACCTGGTGATCCGAAAGAGTGGCAGTCAGAAAAAGGTGCTGGTGTTCGTTTCTCATCAGCCAGCAATGATAAACCGATGGGGAATGTCTCGAATGTACATATGCAGGAGGAAGCAAGACGCAAAACGCAACTGGAAACATTCTGTTTTTAAACTGAGTGAAAAAGTCGAAAACATTCATCAATTCGAGGACAAATTGAAAGAAATGTTGTACGCTACAGGTGTATTGTTTGTCGAAGGCAACACAGACAAATCCGTGATTGGGTCGGTATTTGATCACATCTTGGAGGCAGAGCATCCTGGGGGAGTAAACGATCTAAATGGCTTGCAGAAACTGATAGCTAGAATTCAAGTAATCTCTACCGACGGTACCACAACGTACAATACTTTGAAACACTTGGCAGAAAACCTCGGAATACCGTTTGTGTTTCTGTTTGACAAGGACGCCATGTTTAAGTGCATGGCAAACGTTAGACCACAGCACAACAAGGACTGGCGAAAATTAACACTGTTCTTTGTCAAAACTCTTCTTCAAAGAAGAAAAAAATACAAACATAAAGGGGAAAGGGGCGAAGATGAAAACGAAGAAATGAGAAAACGGATTCAAACGGTTTTGGACACTCTTACCATCAATACAAAAAGTGTAAGAAAAGCACTGAAGTTTAAAGATACAGACCTTGAACAGCCGTCATTTACCACGATAGCTTCATTCATTCAAGATGTAGTGCTGCCTTCAGAATTAATAGACACTCATCATGAGTTAAATAAACAAAAGGCAAAAGCTTTTGATTTGCCAGTAAGCAAATATAGTTGTACCACCAAAGACATCCTAGACTGGCTAAAAATAAACAAACAGATTTATCTGTGGGATTCTGGAAATATCGAGGATGTAATTTGTACAAGCATCTTGAAAAGCAAAGAAAATGAAGAGAAAAAAGAAAATCTCCTTAGAAGTATCTTTTTAGGAGGAAAATATACCGATGAAGGAAAATACTCAAAAGACCCTATAAAAGAGACTCTGAAACAAATGGATAGCGAAACTTCAGAAAGCATAGCGACATGTCTATTAAATAGTAAAGAAATGAATTCTTTTCTAGAATTCCTTTTAGAATTCGGGAAGGAAAGACTATGAACATTACTAGCTGACCATCATCGATGACGAAGAAGACTATATTGTAGGTTAAGCGACACTCAGATCAATATATTTATGACTACTGCATTGAACTTCTAACATTTCACTTTTTAAAAATTATGTTTTTGTATATACGATTGCAAGCTGTGTTGAGTTACCTATGCTATGTTGACAAGGCGTCACTCCTCTCGTCAGTCTCATGATACGTCAACGTACGTGAAGATATGACAATATTAGGATGTTAGTTTTACAATCTTAACAGCCCGTCAACACATTTAAGGTCATTAGGGCCATTAACTGGTGACACACAGCGATCCAAAAAGGAAATAACATCAAACAAATGGTAAGTATGTGTCAATAATACAGGCCAACATCTTTCAGATAACCTAGACTTTTATTAATCTCAACAGTTTTAAAACGGGTCTTTAGACTTGTAACGTCTCGACTAGACAGAAGGTCAATGCAGTCCAATAACAGCGAATGGTTCATCACATTCTATTTACCGAGGACTATCTCCGTCTTTAAACATATTTGAATGCGTAAGGTATGCATGGCCCATCCGAAGACGGGAAAGGAAAACTTCGTCACAATGGTTGTCTCTATAGCATGGTTACCATTCGCCGATGATAGGTCTTACGGAGTGCAATTTATTATTGGTATATTGAATCAATTCCTTCAGCCACTGACATGTTAAACTGTTTTTGATAAATGGTTAAAAATCGGTAAAATGAAGTTTAAACACAACAGGTGGTAGTGATGAAGCTTACTTTGCGGCATGATCTGCTTTATCATTGCCTGGTATTCTAATGTGCTCAGGAACTCAGCAAAAAGAAATACGAAAGTAAAGGCAAGTTCATGATATAGTATTAATGTATTATGAATGAAAATCTTTTAGATATTTCTATTGCTATAGAAATATATATTGTAGTATAGAAAGACAGTCTGAACAGTCTGAACAAATTACAGCTTTCATTAATTTATTTTTTTTAATATATTCAAGGACGAGGAAGATAGCTCGCGCTTCCGCCGAGAATATTGAGCTGTTGTTCGGTAGCCGGCATCCATACACTTCATCTGGTGAAACCATGGCCGCGGCAACATTTTCCTTATCTTTTAAACCATCAGTACATAAATGCAGGAATGTTTTATATTTTAACTGTAATTTCGAGAAGGATGATTGGACGGTGTCACTGTCAGTGTCTAATCTTACCATTTTATGAAGTGAAAAGTCTTATATGTGTATGTTACATTTCAAATAAAAACCTACATGGCACATGCTATTTGTATATATTTAATCATATTCATAATAATGATTGTTTGAAAAGAAAATAAATTAGAATCTAAACTTTACTTTAATAAAGTCAAATAAGTTACGTGATTTTTTTTTCATGCATGGTTTAATAGTATGTAAATCGCACCTGTACATTTTCTCTGTATTGTATATTCATAGTATAATTATGGTATTTGTGTTTGGTTACAGAATATTTTATTGAGGTATTGATGATGCAGTTAACATGTAATCTTATTGTTGTTTAGCATGTAACTTACGTGTAATCTACCACGAAACATTGACCAGAACCCTTTTTTAAACAAAGACGTTTCAAGTATTTAGGTTAGATGTATGCATTCCATGTTATTATCATGGAATACACTTTGGTTGAATATTTCCGCATTAGTTTTTTCACTAGATAATGAGCGATAATAATAAATAGTATACAATTCAAGAATACACATCATGAATTTGGTAAACAACATTAAAATCCTCAAATTACACTACATTGGAAGAATAAAGAAGCTAATTAATGAAAGTGCCACATCTCTGGAGAATAAACTTGATTACCATAACCAATATTCTAGGAGAAATTGTTTCGAGGAAACGCCAACGATTTGGTTTTGTCCGCTTGTTGTTTTTTTTTTTTTTACACATGGCAAACTTGAAATAATTTAACTTAAATTCCACTACGTATCCCATTGATGGTATATTACGTTCGTGGTATTTGGTGTAAGATGCCAGATTTTGATGTTTTTAATCCAGAAATAGTTCTGTGTTTGGTCTACATGCCCCATAAAAAGTTTGTTACTTCTGATACTAATTTATCTTATCGCATGAATGTTAGTGCATGATTAGCACTTTATTACTACTATCGGATATGTTTGTTAATCTATACATAGTTCGTGTATCATTGAAAAGATACCAGTGAAACCGTATTATCTTTGTGTTAACCTGTACATGGTGCATGTTTGATTAAATCAGTAAATAGGATACTGTTTCATTTTGTATGTTTAAATTTGCGTATCGTGCATGTTTGATTAAATTGGTAGAAATGGTACCACCTCATCTTTGTGTTAATTTGTACTTGCCACATGTACAATTAAAATGGCAGCAGTGGTGGTGTGTCGTGTGTGTGTAAATATGAACATGTGTCTTTAAAATGGAGCCAATTATAAGGTCTCGTCGACATGTGGTCGATGCAGTTTTTTCAAATATATCACAAAGACGATTGAATATCCAGGTATGTTATGATCACTTCTTTTCATGTGTATAAGGAACTATTATGTTTCGCATGGTCGAAGTTAGAGCTATATGTACGTTACAACTCTAATCAAGTGGAAAATAAGTGTCACGTGGTCGCATTGTACATGCAATCAGTCAGTTTCTTGGTATTGGACGACCACCAACTTACTGATGCCAAAATATATATATAATATATATATTGAAGTGTACCGATCAGGGGTTATGATCTCTGTCGAATATCCATTCCTTCAGGTCTCATGACTCTTGTTCTTTGAAAGTGTTTGTAACAAAGCGGAATTTTAAACAAAAATATTTGCATTTTTCACTCGAACTATCTATGTTTACATATTGTGTAGGCAGCTTAAGATTTTCCGATTTAGAAATTTAATGATTACTTTCCCTTGATAGGCACTTCCTTGTCAGTTCGAAAAGGGCAGTTTCCCAACCGAATTTAGACCCTCCATAAAATGAGGCCCCTTTTCAGATTTACATGCCCTGAAATTCCACAAACAAATCACATATAAATGACACAGTTAAATGTTGGGTGGTTTAAGGGATTGGGTAATTTAATGGTTTTTCGAGAGCATGTCTTTTTCCCTCCGCAATAGACTTGATCAGAAAAAACTTTAAACTTGATATGTTCATTAAGGCTACAAACTAAAGCATTTTATTATTCAACTACAACCCTCAGAGAAAATCAAAGCAAATGCACATATAACAGAAAACACTGTTGGAAAGAAAAAGTAAGTATCATATGCGCGTTTATGACAGTTTCCGCCCTCTTCATACGTCGTGTGCGTGTTAAGTAATAATTTCCGCGCACCCCATGCATCATGGGCACATTCAACAACAAGCTCCGTCAACCCCATGCATCGTGTGCTTGTTGAGTAACAAGCTCCACCAACCCTTTATAGTGTCAACATTATACCATGTTCTGTTTAACAAATCACTTTTATAGAGTTTGTAAGAGAATAATTTCAATTATTAAAAACTTTGAAAAACGATATACCTTTGATTACGTCCACAAGCCCTTGAATTGTTTTGTTCATAAGAAAAACCTACATGTTTTGGGTATTTGTTTATTTCTACAAAAAGTGTAGCTTTTTTTCGCTATTTTGGGGGTTTTGGGAACTTAATTAAGGATAGCTGATCAATTATGAGTACAGTTATTTTACTTGTTATTATATTTGTGTTTCAGAGTATCGAGAATGACTTATGACCCCCATTCGATAAAATAAATTAAAATTACCCATTTTGGTGGCCATTTTCATTCATACCTGTTGCCTGTGATCTCCTATCAATAGATTAGAAAATACAAATGTAATTATATACATACTATCGTACTTTGCTCTATTCAATACATGTTGTACCTAAGTACGGGGTTAAGAAGTCAGCTGATTAGGTAATGGCGACAAGCCAAAAACTGTAAAATATGTGTGTATATCCAATATTTCACGGTTACCTTTGTCTGCGTTACAACAATGTAGTGCGATAATACGGTGGACAAAACACACACATCACATGCCTATTACTATTAGTTTATCATGATAACTTGTATCAATTGAAATCGTATGCATCATACTAGGGTATTTGAAAGCATAAATAAGGAATGTATGATATTATGACATGTTTGCTATGCGTAATTGTATACAGATGTCTGGTATATATATATCTTTATCTAGATCTATGGATGAGTGTACTGTAGAATACGTTATGATATTGTTATGTATGTGCTTTGAAAAACGAAGTATAATGTCAAAAGAAGTCAAAATGATCAAATTATTCTGAGCAATACAAGTTTTAAATTAAGTATACAGTATGCAAAAAGATGTATACGTAGTGTATATACATTTTTTCATCCTTTACATTAATTCAATTTACTAGTGGTTATGGAGGTGTCCCAAACATTTTCATTTCTATAAGACATTTAAGAAAAATGTAATTACCAAATACATCTTTCTACTTCAATATGCATTTTTATTGATTTTTATTGCATTTCAGACAAAACAAAGGTATATATGCATGCAATGAGACTTGACTTACAAAGTTCAGTTTTCCTGTCACAGCAAATGCCTAATAAACAAAATATGACCAACAAAACCTTGCCAGATAAATATCAAATTGATTTACTCGTGATAGCTAAACGGTTTGAACCCCGATGTTAGTACATGTAGCTATATCAAAATGAGTAGGTATGATATCATAACACTTTGACATAATTGAGGAAGTGGAGTTATATGATTTCTGAGTATTTAGAGATGTACAATATAAACTAAAACAAGTGTCTCATTCCTTATTTAGATCCCTGGTGATACCGTCCTTAATGTTTGGTCCCATTATAGTTTGTTTCATGAACGTGTAACGTTGTGCGATTCCAAAACTGTAGAATATTTCTCAATGAGATGCTTATGACGACCGTAAAACTAAAGACACAAAAGACAATGAATAGCAAATAGAGATTAAGATGAATTAATGATGATTTGAACTGCATTATACAGCGGTCTCTTACATCCAGGACTTGTAAGGACCTCAACTTGAAACCTGGAAGGCGAACGAGAAACATCCAAAGTGATCGAAAAAAAATTCCATAATCTAGATGGATCAATCCACTAGCCTCAGAATTCAGTAAACTTCCTATTTTTGTATTTCTGATAATTTTAGAAGAACGTTCAACAGGTGTATATTCTGAAGCGTAAAACTACTCGAATGAACTAAAATGCGGCATGTAGGCGAATCTTCGAAACTAACAATGCCCCGGAAGTGTCTACAACCTACAATGAAATTTGCCTATCAAGCTTACAATTAAATCCAAGGTTAACTGCCTCATAAAATATGTGATATAAAATCAAGTCGTCAATGCTTCTAAAAAGATCACTTCAGCCTCTCTACTAAGGTATTTTTACAAATTAAAAAAATAAAAATGTCTAGAACCCAAACCAAGCTATCAGTTTCCATGAAATCGAAAAAGCTGACGCCACATGATAATAACATGTACTATATACATCTAACACGAATGATAAACGTCTTTGTTTATAACACGATTTTGCTGTATGTTTCGTGGTGAATTATACATTAGTCACGTGCTAACAACAATAATTATCATGTTAACAATGTTGGAAAATTCATTTGTTAATACTGTATTAACTCCAATAAACTAACTCTAGAGCTAAATAGATTTAACATAATTATACTATAAAAACACAATACATAGAAATGTACAGACACTATTTTTTCCTTGATCAAAGTCTGTAATATAGAATATACATATGTACAAAGCCTGAAGTTCACATTGATCTCAACATAATGCTGTTTTACTAATAATACATT